TGGGGAGGGTCCCTGCCTCAGGCCAGGCCTGCCCGCCGCTTCCCGGAACCCCCCGGGGGTCTCCGTGCGGGGTTCCCGTGCTCCTGGTGGAGCGCGGGCCGGGCGGAGCGGGTAGCGGCCTTCCAGCAGCACCCCCGGGCCCGCTTCCCTCGGAGGAATCTGGGCTGGGAGGGCAGGGCAGGGTTCCCACAGGCCGTGCTGGGAAGATGCGAGTCCTCTTGCCACAGCCAGGCCAGACCAGCAGTTCCCAGCTAGTGTGAAGGGAGATGCCTAAGGAAAACACTGGGATGCTCCGGCCTCTGGATGAAGTCTTCCTCCTCGTGCGGCAGCAGACGTGAAGAATGTGATGTTTATTTTTTGAGCCAACAGGGAGAAGGAGGTGTGCTTTGCCAAAAACTGGGCGTAGGGTAATGAGCTGGCTGGGAAATGGAGGGAGTCCCGGTGAGGGGCTGGGATTTGTGGGGGCGGGAGGGCAGGAGCAGGGCCAGCTTTGCTGGGGCTTGGGAGCAGCTCCTCTTGGAAGCAGCAGCAGAGGTTGTTACTCTGGAGGGTGCAGACTGTCTGAGGCAGGCGAGAGAACCGGTTTCCTTTCAGAGGTAGTCTGCACCTCTCCTGTTAACCCTCAGTCTTGAAATAAACGTCCCAAGAAGGCAGAAGTGTCAGCCTCACACACTGCCTGAAGCAGTGGTTCCTGCCTGGAAGCAGCCGGTGCAGAATCAGAGACAGTAGGTCCTTTTGGACTGTACTGGAGGAAACAGTTTAGAGGAGCATAGAGCTACTTTTCACGCCCCCATCCTATGAATGAGCTGTGGAGAAAGGTTCATTTGCTGGAACAGGCATTACTAATGCTCCCCTGTACCTTTAGGGGAATTCTGCAGTTAATTCTTGGTCTTCTTGGCATGCAGCACATGGAGCAAAAGCACTACAGAGTATGTAACCCCTGTAACCTCCTGAGTACAGGAAGGAGAATGATGCTCTCAAGCACATGGTGTGATTCTTGGGGTGCCCTAAACAGGGACAGGAGTTGGACTTGATGATCCTCATGGGCCCCTTCCAACTCAGCATATTCTGTAAGAGTGGTTATGAGCACTATTGCTAATTGTTTTCTACCAAGCACTGCTTGGTAATTAATTTCATCAGAGACAGAAGGGATCCAACAGTAGAGTCAAGACAGTAGAAGTTTTTCCATTTGGCTTCCTGGGATTAGCATCACATTTATTAGAGCAAAGACAGGTCATTGTATTCTGGCAGGAGAGGATTATCTCACTGCTTAAAGTCAGTTAATGTTTAAAAATACATTTGCAAAAACCCAGAAATTTTTAGTATATAATTCATAATAAAGAGCTTTACTAAACTATTGTGGATTGTTTGGTACAGATGGAAATTCTAGTTTAAGAGAACAGCAAATCCATGTGATTTGCAGCCTTTTTTAATGGAATGATTACATAATGTCTATAAAATGAATAATTTCTCTTCTAGGACTTTATGGAGATTTGGATACTCTGCCAGACTACTGAAAACTAATCATTTTAGGACAGCTGCATCAAATACATCATTTCCAGCAGTTTGGATGCTGTTGGCACAATATTCTGGCAGAATACCTGGTCTCTTTGTAGTAGGAAAAAAAAATAGGTTTTCCACAATGCCTGAAAGTGTGGAGGATAAAACTAATCTAGAGCTGTATTCGCCACATCCTGAGGTGCGTGGGATGACACGACTCGACAGAGAAGCCTTTAAAAGGACAGTTGTTGTTCCAGTTCTGAAAGTGAAGAAAGAAGTGGTAAATACTTTGCTAAAGTCCCTAAAACACACGGTGCTACAGCGTCCTGGCCTGAAGCGAGTGGTTGAGGATCCAGAAGATGAGGACCATAGACTTGTTATTTTGGATCCTCATAAAATACCAGAATTCTCATTGGGAGAGTCGGAGCAAGAGGTGTTAAAGCAGCTTGATGTTTGCCCTGAGGTGTCCAAGTATAACCTGGAGCTGACTTATGAGAACTTCAAGTCGGAGGAGATCCTACGAGCAGTCCTTCCTGAAGGTCAAGATGTCACCTCTGGATTTAGCCGTGTTGGTCACATTGCTCATCTGAACCTTAGAGATCATCAGCTGCCCTACAGGCATTTGATTGGTAGGTAAAACAACCCTCCTCAAAAAAAAACAACAATTGAGAGTATTTTATGTGTTCTTACAAAGATATTTTAGCAATCATTCCAACGATAAATTGTTACCTGTACAAGGAGAACTTTTGAGTGCTTTTCATTGTTTTGTGTTTTGACTTGGAGTAGAATCACAGAATCTTAGGGGTTGGAAGGGACCTCGAAAGACCCCATCTGCCAGAGCAGGGTCACCTAGAGCACATCACACAGGAACATGTCCAGGCTGGTTTTGAATGTCTCCAGTGAAGGAGACTCCACAACCTCTCTGGGCAGCCTTGTGCGGGTGCTGTAGCTGTGTGCAGAAGGCACAGCTCTGTCCTCTCACAGTAGTTGTGGTCCTCACCAGTGGTCAGGGTGAGGTATGTGCCTTGGAAGGATACCACATCTGCAGCCCTGAATCATTAGAGGAAGGTTGTTCCAATACATCCTGACTTCTCTGCATTTAACTGTAGTCACAGAATGGTTGAAAGGGACCTCTGGAGATCACCTAGTCCAACCCCCCCTGCCAGAGCAGGGTCCCCTAGAGCAGATCACACAGGAACACGTCCAGGTGTGTTTTGAATGTCTCCAGGGATGGAGACTCCAGAACCTCCCAGGGCAGCCTGTTCCAGTGCTCAGTTACCCTCACAGTAAAGAAGCATTTTCTTATATTCAGGTTAAAACTCCTTTTCTGTCAGCTGAGCAGCCCCAGCTCTCAACCTTTCCTCAAAGGGCAGATGCTGCAATCCCTTCATCATCTTAGAGTGTTTTTAACCCTTGTAGAATGTTAAGAGGCTGTAGTCCCTTAATCAGAATATCTTTTCCCCTCTTTTTCAGGCCAGGTTATAATTGACAAGAATCCAGGGATCACCTGTGTAGTGAATAAAACCAACATTATTGACAGCACATACAGAAATTTTCAAATGGAAGTGCTCGCTGGAGAGAGCAACCTGGTCACCAAGGTACAGGGTTTTTCCCCATTATTCTAAGTTGAATATGCTAAAACCCAAAAAGACCTCTCCTGGAAAGGTGTGATGAGGAGATGCTGCTAGGACCATTCCTTTGGACAGTGCTCTTCCTGATACCCCTTTCAGAGCATGACTTGGCAGTTACTTCTGCGATCATTTGTCCTGGTCTGGCAAGAGCAGCCTCACAGCCACAGGGATCATGAAGAGAAGTATTCTTTCTAGTTCACTGCCTAGATTTTAATGATGTAAAAGCAGCTGAAGTAGAGGTTTGTTACAGAGATACTAATTACAAACTTGTAGTGGGGGGTGTTTCTCACTCTAAAGCCAAAATAATTAGTGGATTTGATCTAAGAAAATGCTGTGTCTTCATTTCTCCAAGCCTTGTACTGGGGCTGGTGCAGAACTGTTTGTAAATCTCACTGGCTCACTCACCTAGGCAAGATTTAGCCTATGCCTTTTTACTTTTCTGTCAGCAGCAAAACAAACCTCATCTCTCTATTTTGACATTTTTCAGGTGTAAAGCACTGTGTAATGGCCAAGCATTCTTCCTGTAGGGTTTCTTGTCCTTAGCTGGAAACTTGGCCACTGGTTTGACCCAAAAATATTTTCCCCTGTTAGCAGTTCTATTCTTTTAGAAGACAAAACATTAGATTACCAAGTAAACAAGGTGAACAGCTTGCTAGAACATCCTGTACTTGCACAGAGAAGGCATTTGAACTGTCAGGAAGTGGCAGTGAAATGTTAGGCTGATGGTGTTAGCTGGTTAAGCTCACATGTAGCTCACCCCTGAGCTGCACACCCAGGAGTGCAGATACACTTTGGTATGTTCCTTGCTCCATATGGAATCTGAACCTGCTTTACTTCAGAGTCACACAATTCAAGTCTGGTGGTGCAAAGTGAGTATTATCTTCCATCCCACTCTCATCTGAATAAATACTTTTAAACTTTTTGGGTCTGTTCTTAAGGTAATGGTCATCCCAAAGTTTGGGTTTGGATCAGTTTCCAGACTCTGTCACCTTGAGCGAGAAAAACACAGTATTTTTTCAGACTGCAGAACTGGCTCCCAGTGGCTTTGAATTTGGCTGACTTCTGCCATTCGTGTGCTGTGTCGTTCTCAGACAATTCTTTACTGTGTGGACTCTGCTGAGAAGGGCTTGAGGCATCTTCCCAAGGTCTGCTTTCAATAAAGGAGTTGTCAGCCAGCCACAAAGCTTTTGAAAAGCCTCAGATTTTTTTTCTTCCTGGTCATTTTAAGTTGCTGCTTTATTTCCACCTGGTGATTGAGACATGCATAAGCCAGCCATCTGGATTGGCAGTTGGAACATTCCTCATGGCTATTTCTGATGGGTAGATCTGTTTATACAAGGTCCATGTGTACTGCTGATGGGACAAATGTCAATATACATGGTACCTTTTAATAAAGCACCTTGTTTTTTAGCTGTCTTAATTACTGATAATGCTTAAACACATCTGAAATTTGAACACAGAGGTTTAACTGAATGTTCTGGACTTTCAGGTCAAAGAAAATAATATTGCATATGAATTGGACTTCTCTAAAGTCTACTGGAACCCACGTCTTTCCACAGAACATGGCCGTATCGTTGCGCTTCTAAAGCCTGGTGATGTCCTCTTTGATGTCTTTGCTGGGATTGGACCTTTTGCTATTCCAGCAGCAAAGAAAAAGTGCCACGTGTTTGCCAACGATCTCAATCCTGAATCCTACACCTGGCTCCTCCACAACTGCAAACTAAATAAAGTAGACAAGGAGGTAAAAGCCTTCAATATGGATGGCAGGGACTTCCTCCTGGGGCCCGTAAGAGAAGAACTAAGTAAAAAGCTCCCACTTCTGAAAGAGGAGCAGAAAACCTCTTTTCATATAGTCATGAATTTGCCAGCGTTGGCCATTGAATTTCTAGATGTTTTCAGACACCTGTTGGGGGGGGAGCCGTGCAGCACTGCTGGCCTTCCCACCCTGCACTGCTATGGCTTCTCCAAGCATGAGGACCCAGCCAAAGATATCCAAGACCGAGCTGAGGCTGCACTGGGAACCTCCTTGGATGGACGCTGCTCTACCTACCTGGTGAGAAACGTTGCCCCCAACAAGGAGATGCTCTGCATCAGTTTCCAGGTTCCAGCCGATGTGCTGTACAAGAGGCCCTGCCCTGATGCAGGTAAGGAACAATCCTGCAAGGTGGCACTTGGCTTTCAGGCTGTTTCTTCAGCTGTCTCAGGCTGGTGCCACCTTACCAGCCCTGTGGGCCACCTCAGCCATGTGCCAGCCACTCTGGGCTGTGGTGTGAGTGTAGAGGTGGCCAGTGGGACCATGTGTGCAGCAGCTGCAGGGCTCTGTGTGCAGCAGCACTTCACTGCTCTGATCCCAGCAGGAGCCTCCACAGAAACCATGGTGGAATGGAGAGGATCATCCCACAGGCCCTAAAACAGGCCTTTAAGCTTAAGATTGTGTGCTGGGGTAGGATGGGGTGTTGAACATCAAGCACATGTTTCTGTTAGCTGAATACTTGAGAACTGGAGCTTCATTCTCACCCAGGGCGGAATGGCATGTTTCCAAGTGACTGATCCCACTTCTGGCCTTCCTCCCTGTGCTTGCACAGACTCTGTTTAGGTCTGGAGTCTCTACATCAGCAGAATCCAGTTCTGTACAATGTAAGTGAGAAGTGGATATCCCTGGAGATCCTTAATGTTGCTTTTAAATATAAATAACTGGTCATTTGCTCTTGAAGTAGAATTTCATTGGCTTCAGTGATCTTGGGCTTTGTGCTGCATGGCAAGGGGGAAGAAGGGAGAGACCTTCAGTCTGCAGTTACATGAACTGGAGGAAAGGAGGTTTTGATAAAGCTTTAGTGTTGTGAAACATTTTATGCCTTTGTGGGTTAACACTAAGATGTAGGTAAAAAGGTAGCTCCATACTGGTTTTTTGAAAGTCCTTTTTGGCATTTAGTAAAGATCCACCATTAATGCTCTAATCATTTTCGTGACTGTTAATCCTGATTTTAATGCTCTTCCTGTTAAATCCCTGAAGTGTTACACAGCTCGTGGTTTTGTTCCATCTCTTTACTGTATATTAAATAACCGAATTTTTCTAACCTTGTTCCAGCAAAACCAGCCTCTAAACGTCTGTGCACCAGCAAGGACTTTTCTGAAGATAAGTTACCCAGCTGAAGACTGGAGTTACCTTGTGAGTTACAAGATACACCCAGGCATACCTGGGTTACCTCTAGTTTCCCCCTTGAATTATTTGAAGCAAACCTGTGTGACCTAACTCAGGTGCTGAGATGCATAATGGATGTTGCAGCTTTCCTCTGGGAGCCCTGCACTTACCTTTCCTTTTAACTGTGGGATCAATAAACAGATTGAAATAGTTATTGCTACAAAAAACAAAACAAAACAAAAAAAACTTGGCTTTTTTCTAATAAATGTGTTTTGGTGCTTTCTGCTCTGTGGTGTTTCACACCCCTTGTTGATTCAGTGACACAGACTGGGGGATTTTTTGTTGTTGCTTTTTTTTTGCTGTATTTTTATAATGTATGGTTTGTGGTGAAAAGCTGATTTTTGTCTTTCTTGGGGTCTGTCATGATGAGTTGTATAACCCTTGTGTTGGATTCTCTTTGGTGTTCAGGAATGCTGGATTACTGTCAGCAGATGCACAAACACCTCCTGCAAGCAAGATAACCTTTCAAAAATTTAACCCAAGCTACCAAAAGGCCCAAATAGCCATATATCTCTGTTCCTAGGCTTTTGAGTAATAAATGCTTTTTAACAGTGAGATTAAATGAAGGATGGGTTAACTGCTAACTTACTGTTTGCCCACAGATAAAGCAGGAAGGACTGTCACGCAACCTGCAGAGCTGCAGATGAAGCACATGCTTGTGGTGAAGCAGTACCAGGCTGAGCAGTCCTCTCCTCTGGAAACCACCTCCTGCTGTGGCTCCTGTGCTCTGCCCTGGCCCAACTTCCCCCCCCCCTCTGCCATCTCTGGACAATCCCTCTGCCCAGCAGCCTGTGTTCTGCAGGGATTTGAAAAGCCTCTGCCTTTGATTTCCTTTTCTCACCCATCCAAACTATTGTTGGGCAACGTCAACCGCAAACAGTTTATTTGGCCAGAGAACTTGGATCACCCTCTTCGTTTCAGATATTTTCTCTCAGCCCAAGCCTAGCAACTGGGTAACTAGTTGTCCATCACCCTCCCTGGCTCTGCTGCTGTGGCTCCAGCACTGGGGCTTGTGGCCTGATGTCCTGGTTCTCCCCCAAACAACCATGAAGACCGTGGATTTGTTTTGCTCGTGGCTCCATGTTCCCGCCTGTCCCTTGGCTACGCAGCCTGTGCTTTTGAACTTGGTTGCTGCTGGATTGCATTTATCAAAACAGGGAGGAAGAAAATCCTCATGACTCACTCATACTACCATGAAAGCTGCTGGACAGTGTTTCCCTGGGCTTCTGCTCCAGCCTGTGTGTTCCTCCACTGGCCTTCAGAAATGGTGTCACTGCAACAGCTTTGCCCTGCTTGTCCTTCTGGCAGCGACAGGCACCAAGACTCCTCACCCAACCAGGCACTGCTCCTCTCAGAGTTGGACTCTTGTCCCCAGGCCACGCTGCTGTCCCTGCTGCCTGTCACATTGTCTAACACCACTGCCTGCTTTCCTACCCTGCCCAGAAACCTCTGGAAGCTGCTCCTGTTCCTCAGAGCCCTCCTGAGCACTGCTGAGGACCTTGGACCGTGCTGGAATGAAGCTGTCACCCTGTGAGCTACACTAACAGACCCATCTGCACTGCCAGGAACTGACAGGCCCTTTGACACATGCATTGCCTCACTGTCCCAATGCAGAGCTGCTTGGCACCACTGCCCTCACAAACACCATTTTTGAGTTAAGGAGGTCAACTACGTAACTCTGGTTTTCAGCATGTGACTAAAGTATCCCAGAGCAGGGAAGGATTTTAGGTCTTAAAAGTTTTGTTCGCATAAGGATTAAATGCCATTGCTTTAGCAACACAACTTCAGAGGCCAGTCAGTGGGTTACACCTGGCTATGCTCACAGGGTTTTTTCCATATTTCTGTTTAGTTCCCACTTCCACATGAAATAGTGAAATGACAGAGAACATACACACAAGCTGCATGAGGGTATTTAAGTGACATGCATTAATTAACCTGTAGTTCTGCGTTCTTTAGGGCAACATCCAGTGCTTTACAAACTGGGAATGAAGCAGATCATCAGTGAGATGTGCCTTTACAGTCTGGGTGAGCCCACAGTAGTACAGACTCCCCCTGGTTGCTGCTGTTCCTTCCCAGGGTCCTGCTCTGAATCCCCGAGGAACCTCTGCTATCTTAAATCTGGCAGCAGGGCACAGGCTGCCAGGCATCTGTGATCACGGGAAACATCTCCCACAGCTTCTGGCTGCTAGGAAAACAATCTGCTAGGTCCACTAGTGCTGGCATCTCATCTGCCATGAGCAAGGGAGTGGATAAATAAAGAGCATGTGAACTTCCAGGCCTTAGAGCTGAGAGGAAAGGAAGAAGTGCCTCAGGCAGAAAGCAGGACTCTGCAGGCTGCCACCTCTTCTACACCTTTGCTTCTTGTGTAACATTACCTGTCGGCAACTCCTCAGGACACAAACAACAGGATTTCAGAGAAAGGGCAATGGAAATGTTGGCACCTCCCTCCATTTTCCTTAATAAAAGAGGCACTGAGTCTGGAATAGAGTTTATTCTTTTCTTTATTACGACCTAGAAAAAAATACATTAATTTAGTACACTCCTCAGAGCCCTTTTCAACAATTATTAATGGATGATCCATAAAACATGGTCCAGGCTTTAGAGGCACTCCCTGTCCTGAGCAGTTTCCAGTCTCCTGCAGTTCATACACACTTGTGGCAAAGACCAACCCCATCCCAGGAAGCCCATCTCCACTGCAATCAGTTTATATTCCACTACAAGGAGAGGGGAAGGAATATGTAAAAGCAGCAGATTTAGTGGTAGGGGACATCCCAAAACCAGGCAAAGGGATGGATGTTCCTGCCAAAAGAAGCTCCTGAACACAACAGAAAAGTTGCAAACAGAATTAAACAGGAAAAAAAACAACTCCAATTTTGACTACCTTAATGAGCTCACCTTGTATCAATGTTTCTCAGGTTGCTTCTGGAGGAACTCAGCTGAAAGACTTTCAGCTGAAGATCTGTTTTCCAGACAAAGGTAAGGACCAAGTGACATCAGGAAGGATCCTGCACAAGAGTTGTGTCAGCACAGTTCCAGGGTTTCTCATCTCATCCATCTGGCAGGAGGTAAAACCCACTTGTCTGAACTGGGGAAACTAGTTTTATAGGAAGAAAATGTAGGCTTGAATATTGACACTAAATGTTATAATCAAAATGGCATTTAAATGCTTGTGCAAATAAAACCCTGCAATAAGAGTAAAACCACAAACTTTAATAAAAAAGTCTGGCTTTATTTAAAAAAAAATTTACAAGTGTATTTCTTTAAACCTCAAACATACACAGCTGAGTTATTCACATCTTCCATTAGATGTGGCTTATTGCTTCAGCCTCCCTCAGCAAAGTGCCACATGACTAACGAGTTTCCCCCTCCACAAAAATGTATCTACCATTTCACAAAGCTCTTGTGCAGACAGGGTTGGTGTGGTGGTTTTTTTTTTCTTCTTTTAACACTTACAGGCAGCTGTGTCTTGACACAGAAAAAGTGACTGCAGCTTCGCCCTTGTGCAATTCTCCCCAACCTCTGCTGGCTTGGTTTGCTTCTTGCTCCACTCAGTGTCCCTGGATCACAGGCTGGTGCCCACTTGCTAACTGGGGTGCCAGAAAAGCCCACTGAACGCATCTTGCAAGGCTCGGTGACAAGCAAGAGAAGAACTGTAGCCCCCAGCAAGATCCTGTGGAGAGGCAGCTCGTACGTGGTTGAGATACCTGGAACAAAGAGAAGTGTTATTTCGGAGCAGAAATAAACACCTGCACAGCGCACAGGGCAGTGAGGTCAAGGCTGCTCTTTGGGAGAAAGCAAGGAGATGGAGCTGCCTGCTGCCAGCCACCTGTAAACATGCCAAGATATGTATCACTTCCATTAGTTAAAATAATGGCAACACTGATGCACCCTCAGAACATGCTGCCCAACCAACACCCTGAAACATCTTGGCTCTTTGCACATGGTTCACAGGGTTAAGTACCCTCACCAGTTGGTATTTTCTGTGTTCGCTCTGGGGATAAGGCTGCACTTCTCCCCCTTGGTAGTTCTTTCTAAGACAAGGACAACACAAGCTTTCCTCTACTCCCACAGGAATCAGAGGGTTTCAGCTCTGTCCAGTTGATGCTGGGTGCTCCCAAGAGCCAACTGTGCTGGTTGCTCTGATGACAACAGGGCCAAATTTTCTGCTCTTGGGCCTACCTATATCTGTAGTGACTCCACTGACACCAGGGAGTTAGATCTGCAGGAGGGTCTTACCAACATTTTGGCTAAATAAGCCTCTCAACTTCAACCTCATTAAGCAACATCACCCATTTGTAGAGCCATCCAGTTTGATACCAAACCAGCCAGATGGATGGGTTGACATTGGAACATGCTACCTACACTGGCACTGCCACAAGCTCTTGGTCCCCCTTAGCTCCTCCTGAGGGCTCAAACCCAGGTGTCCACACCTAGAGCTCCCATTAAAGGTGTCTGTCGGGGGCTTGAATGATTTCATTCAATGCTGAAATCCTAGAGTTCTCACACCCCACCTAAGACACATACAAAGACCAGATTCTCAGCTAGTTTTGTACCAAAACCTCATCAAAATCAGAGACAGACACAGGCCTGGTCAGCACAACGACCCTCTCAAATTCTGAACACCAGGTAAAACACCAACACCAAGAACTGCTTTTCACATTGGTGTGTAAGACACTGAGCTTCAGCTCGCTGGCTTGATTCATCACTTGGTACGTGTTGCTTCTGGGAAGATTGAATCATTCCACCTCTGCCTTGGCAATTCAAGCATAAACTTGCAAAACGCATACAAGCCTTTTATAATGTTATCCCAAGAAACCTAAAACAGCTGCACTTTTGGCAGGAAAATACAGGACCACCAGTAAAATATCCAAAACAGTTTCATTTTTTAATTTATGACTGTAC